CTAAACTGACCATGCGTTCACTCCATCTAAACAGCCTTCTCGGGATCCTTCCTAGTCCTCATCTCCCTCACCTCCCCGGTCCTCTCCTCCGTCGCCTCTCTCCTCACCATCTTCCTCGTCGCCATCGTCGACTGGCTCCGAACCGGCCAACCCCTCTCCAAATCCTCCATCATCGGCGGCATCCTCATCATCGCAGCCTTCTTCCTGCTCAGCTGGAGTACCTACCGCGAAATGAACGAGGAGAGGAAAAAGTCCATCGAAAACGAACAAGTCGAATCCGACAGCGACGACTAGAATTCAGTTGATATCTATCTCGTTAATTAACCGGATCCATCATCCGGTAATGTTACTCGTTGCTTACCATTTCGGATCTTTTTTTTTCCCCTGAAAAGCCCCGGGTCTGTTTATATCTTACCTTTACCTTCCTTTCTTACTTTCTTTTTATATGTTTATTACCATTCATTGCTTGAGTTATATTATAGAATTGGTCACTGTCTTTTTTGTTACATGGCGGTGTTGATTTAGAGTGTTCGTGGTTTCCCCTATTTTTATTTTTATTTTTTTTTTATTTGGTCAATGTACATTTTTACTTTCATTCTTGGTCTTGTACTTTTGGTTCCTTTCTTGTTGGTTATGGGATACAGTGCTGTGTTCGGGGTATAGGAGTAGGGGAGTTTTGAAACTTCTCTACTTGACACATCTCTCTCCCTTGCCGGGGGGTGCAAACTATGCAATATACATACTACTTCTCTACATTCGACGATGGGGTGCGGGGGCATCTGTGCAAAGGCTCCGCAGGGTCGATCAAGTTGGCTTGGTTTCTCTATACTAGGTACAAGAACAGGAAATGTAGGGCGCAGTGCACGCTGTCCTTAGATCCCTATATGACATGAACATCAAGGGCGATCTCCCAGAGATAAGAGGATGCTGTACATGGGCAGTAAGGAAGGTGTTTAAATAGATTAGGAAAATGGGGGGAGAAAGAGGTGAACAACGGTTTTACGTTTATCTGGGTCCAAGCTTCTCCAGGGCACGAGCACCCTGTTCTTGCCATTCTTGTTTGCTGACCCACATATCCTCCTTGTCGGCGATCTGAGAGATAGTTAGATGACCAGAGTTTCAAGCTGTGTATAAGTGTGGATAGGGCTCAAGCTCTTACCAGGTTAGCAAGGACAGCACCGCCCAGGAAGACCATGTGTCTCCGTCTTGGCGGATCCTCAATCCGCACCTTGAATTTCTAGACTAGAGTTAGCGTATATCTCCGTGACGGATATTATTAAACATACGTTCAGCCTCTCCGGGTCTCCGTGCAATACACGTGTGAGCCACAGCTGCTTCAGCTCCTTCTCCAGTCGTGATGGCAGACCAGGGTACATGCTGCTTCCTCCACTGAGCACGATAGCCTTGTACAAGCTGGAGCGAACATCCACATCGGCGCCCTGGATGGTGTTGAAGAGCATTTCGGCGATACCGGGCTGATCCACGTCCACCAGGTGCGGCTGGAAGAGACACTCGGGAGCCTCGAAACGCTCACTTCCTACACGGATGACCCGACCGTCGGGGAGGGTGTAGGACTCGACAAGAACAGTTGTATCCTCCGAGAGCTGTTTGTCCAACTCCAAATCATAAGAAACGTAGCAAAGCTTCTCCTTGATCTGGCGCACCGTCTCGAAGTCGGCCGTACGGTTCAGGGCATAACCGCGGCGAAGGAGGAGGGCGATCATGTTGCGGGTGACATCACGGCCCGCGACATCCAATCGACGGATATGGTGATTCAGAACTGTAGATTCGTATACCGGGATAATGTGCGTGACACCATCACCGGAGTCGACAACCACACCGCTGCTGAGACCTAGTAGACCATATGAGGTTCTTACGCTCCCAAGTCAAAGGGAGTCCTAGTACATACCCTGGGCGTATAGTGCAAGCACAGCTTGAATAGCGACATATACACCACCGAAGTTGTAGCCTTCCAGCATAACCTCAGCCATCTTCTCGCGGTTCTTTAAGGGATTCATGGGGGGTTCGGTAAGAAGGATTTTGCGACCGGTGGGATCAATGCCCAACTTCTCATAAAAGGTATAGTTCCATAGATGTTGCATGTCATCCCAGTTTTTCACTATTCCATTCTCCATCTATCCATTGGACACGATTCAGCAACTTGGAGGCGCACAAGCAGAGAGCGACAACGAGCCGCAAGGAGGGGACGTACAGGATAGCTGATCTGAAGCATTGATCTGGCAGCGGCAGCTTCATCTCCGCACATAATATCCTTGACAACAATGTCGCCAGCCTGTTCCTCAGTTCGCAGTATGGGCCGCCCCACTATTGAGGGGAACTGATGCTCGGGGAAGTTCTAACGGACAGCAACCAAGTAAACAAATCGCCCTTTGAATATTATATAGATCGTGCCAGTAGAAAGCATACCTGCGCAGCATATCCGACCTTGAGGAAACCGGTTCCTCCGTCGAGCACTGAAGGCATGGGTTAGTTGACGGGACGGGAGCACCAGGCAGGAGCTGTCAGGAGCGGAGGATCAAGCTTACCAATGGGCATCTCCGCCATGGTGTTGGATGCGAATTACAAAAATAAATGCTTAAACAATTCCAAAGTGACAAACAAACGCAATCATGAGGATGTGGTCAGGAGTGGGGGGAAAACCTGGGGGAGTTGATAGAGAATATGAGGGGAAGGAGAACGAGCAACGTTACGGACTGGCGGTGCAGTCAAGTCAGTCGTCGTCACTGTTGCCCGTGAGTGGAATGCCTGGGTGCCTGAACGCCCGATGTCTGGGGACTGTTAACTCCGACGAGCTCACCTCCACAGAACATCATACTACTACTAAACCACTTTATCAGCCACGATTGTAAACTGAGTATAACGAATTGTTCCGCAGGACCAAATAAGCAAAATGTTTCTTGGTTGTGGACTAAGGGCCACCTCGGCTCTCAACATCCAGCATTAGACAATGCCAGAATCCTCACAATGATGATTGATGGAGGTGAGAATTCCATGTATAACCGCTTAACATAGTATACGATGGACGTCTATAATCATGGCCGGTCAGTCAACCCATTCTCATGGTAAATGACTAGAACAACCCTGTCGCAGTTGTCCGCCCGGTATCGGGACCGCCCGGTTATCGATTATCGTTAAGAACAACAACAAGCATCTACTCCCTTCTCGTAGCTCATAACCTCTCATATCTCTCACAACCATCCTTAACTCTAGAGCCAATTGTACCATCAAACATGACTCGCATCGGCTGGGTATGATCAGCCCAAGAACCACTAAACAGCAATGTTACTAACCTATACAAACAGTATGGCCTAGGCTCCATGGGCCTAGCCATGGCCTCCAATCTCCAAAGACACCTGGCGACCAAGAACGCCATGAATCTAATCTACTCGAACCGGACCATGGCACGCGGTGACCCTCTCAAAACCCTAGGTGCGACCCCAGAGACCAGCTTCGCCAAACTAGTCGGTCAATGCGGGATCATCTTCACCATGGTGCGTACAGCTAAAACAATCGCATTCCATAGAACTAACACGAAAAAGGTCTCCAACGACACAGTCCTCCAACAACTAATCGCATCCGCCATTGGATCCGGACACTCTCTCCGCGACAAGATCTTCGTAGACTGCTCGACCGTCCACCCCGAAACGGTGGGTCTAACGGTCTCCAAACTGAGAGAACAGCAAGCGTCTTTCCTGGCGGCACCTGTGTTCGGCGGCAATCCGATCGCGGTGGATGGGAAGCTCGTCTTTGCCCTTGCCGGGCCGAAGAAGGCCTCGGAGGTGGTGAAACCGTTGATTCAGGATGTTATGGGTCGCAAGGTTATTGATTGTGGTGAGGATGCGACTAAGTCTTCGCTTTTGAAAATTGCTGGGTATGAGATACCTTCTACTCCCTTTTTTTTTTTTTTTTCTTCGCTTTTACGCGCTAAGGGAGCAATACTGATGATTATCAGTAATATCGTCACCGTTAATATGATGGAAGCTGTCGGAGAAGCCCAGGTTTTCGCCGAGCGTACTGGACTCGGCACTGGTCCGATGGAAGAGCTCATCGGGGAAGCTTTTGGCGCCGTGGCTGGTGGATATTCGAAAAGGTGGCGTAGTTTAAAATCTCTGCTTTATGTTGGGTACATCACTGACGAGTTACAGATTGACGACCGGTGCCTATGCGCCGCCGTTGGAATCTCGGCCTGGGTTCGGTGTGTCCCTTGCTATTAAGGATGCGAACCATGCATTTGCCATGGCGAAGGAGCATAATGTTGAGCTTCCCGGTCTGAAGGTCGCGCATGAGAACATGGTGGCTGCGAGGGAGTATGCTGGCGAGTGTCTGGATAGCAGCTCAATGTACGGCGTTTTGCGTCAGAAGGCGGGAATGGCTTTCTGGAATGAGAAGAGTCGGAAGGAGTGAAGTTGGGATTGGCCCATGGAAGAGATGGATTCATTTATCATTCGGACATTAGATTAATTTTTGAGCGCCACGTAAATATGGGAAATGGCTCCCTGGCTTCCATTACTACGAGGTGCAATGGAGACGAGACAAGGCGGGATCAAATAAAACACAGTTCCATTTGGATTTGACTATCTATACTTCGAGGTCTAACTGCTGCTGCTGCTGCTGCAGTCTCTAGTATATGGCACTAATTCTAGATCTACGTCGGGTGTTTCCCGACAACTCAGGAGGATCCTAAAGCCGATCTTTCAGAACATGAAGCGGATGAGGCTATCGTGTTCAGAAGTTCTATTGTTACGATGCTATATCCCAAGGGTCAGTATGTTTACCGTTCCTCCATACACTGTATAGCCAGCATAATTCGGAAAACTTCTACCATTTTTCAGGCAGTTGTGTGGTAAGTATCCGAGTGGCATGCCAAACATGGTAGAGGAAAGAGTTAGGGACAAGAATCACCGAAAAGGAAAACCCAAAACCGAAACGAAGGACGAAAGACAAGGAGACGCCTAGAGAATGTATAGAGGATAGTCTCAAAAATGGATACCCCCGCCTGAGCCTTGTGACCGGAATTGGTCAAACATATATATATATAACGAAATTCCACCCGACTATCTGTCTATACGGTGGCTGCTCGGTGAAGATTGGCCCGTACCGAAGATACGGTTAGGCTGGTTCTTAATTCTGGCTGTGTCAGCCAAGGACGGATACGCTTCCGCAAATGCAGGGCCGAGACTCCAATTGTTGAGGTTGCGTAGATGCCTTTCAAAGACGGGGTTGATGATCAATTCATCGTTATCTCCCGTCGACAAAAGACAATCGGTTTCCTCATATGGCCAGTTGACTGACAGTGTACGCGTAAATGGTATAAACCAATTGTCAAAAGGGTAGTCCTGGTGTGCCATCACGACGCGATCGCGCATCCGTGGCCACGGCAAGTAATCAATCCAGGCGGGGTGTGGCGTTAAAAGTTGCGATGGGCGCGGAGTCGACCATTCTGGTAGCCGATCATAATTTTCAGCCGTTGGGTAGATCTGCCATCGCATGAGAAGGAACATGACATATAAGACAGCTACTTGCTCCGGAAGGGAGGAAATATCTGGAAATGTGCGCAGGATATCAGTGAACACCTTCGACAACGGGTGTGAGTAAGCGCCTTTTTCTGGGTTGAGCAGGGAGGAGACACTGGGATAAGGAGGCCCCACTAGCTTTTGCTGGGGGACCCCCGAGGCTGCTTCGCGCTGCCGATGGTGGAGAAAGTCCAACAGGATGGCATCCAGCGTGCAGGTTGGTGTAATGTTTCGGATTGGCGTCATGTAGGCGGGCAGAGAGTGCTCCGCCATGGATCCGTGGATCGGCGATGGGTAGGCCGGAGGAGCGTTCATTGGGGCCGCTCGGAAGTTTCCCGGCGAGCGACGGAAGCCCTCCACTTTCGGAACTTGTTGTGATGCATCCAGTAGAAAGTTAAAGGCCATCCTTTCATCGTTCCCAAAATCCAACCCATGCGTCATATTATGCCGCTGATAGTCAAACGCAATGCGAAACGAAGCCGATGCCCCATTTGTGGCGCTTTCGCGCCGGATGGTGCCTAACAAAGGCGCCGAGTGTGTGGATGACGGCGTTTCGATTCTCGCGGAAGCTTCGGAGTAAGAATGGTCGACATTGGTGGGCCTGGTGTCACCGAAGCAACTGGTTTTGCAAATGGTAGTGCTGTAGACAAAGGGGGGCCGAATGCGTGCCCGAGGAAGCGGCTGCAGCGGCGGGAGGATCTGGGAGCGCCTATTTAGCTCTAATGATCCCTGAGAACATGGGTGGGTAGTTTTACGGCACCAGGGGCCAGACTTACTAGCACTAGACGCTTCGTGCTTCCCGACTAGAGGCTGAATGACGTCCATGATCGCCTTCAATGCCTGTTTGATGTCGCGGTTCTCGGCTTGAATGGCTTCATTCTGCTTCAGCGCCGCCTGGAGATCCAAAAATGGCTTCTGGGAAGAGAGCTCGCGGACGCGGTGTTCCAGCGAATCTATATGAGCTTTAGTCCTCTCACGAATTGCCCGTTGAGCCTGCCGGTCGTTGGCTCGTTTCTTCGCCAACTGCTCGGGAGTGAGATTGGCTACACCTCGTGCGGAACTACTATTCAACTTGCGTTTCCGCCCCGCAGGCCCGCCAGTGTCTGGCGCCGGTGTTTCTGCATCTGCATCCGCGGACGTCAATGCGGATGGTGTCGGTGAATCTTCCAGTTTCACATATTCCGAGTCCAAGTTGACGGGGTCGGTCGCGACTGGAGTCTCACGGGTTCCCGAGGAAGTAGAGTTGAGGGCCGCGGAAGGGGCCACATCATTCAGAGGAGGCAGGCGATTGGCCATGACCTCCTTCTCACGTGGTTATCGGAACGTCAGGGCCATTCAAGACGGCCGGGAGGATTCAGACAGGAGTATCCAGGATAGTACCTGGGATCATCAAAAGCTCAGAAGGGATCAGCATCGACGTCGTAAAAGGAAAAGAAATGGCGTGGTGTGAGAAGAAGAAGAAGAACGATACTTTTTCAGCCGACAACGTTTCGGGGCATGACTACGAACGAGTCTGGAACAAGTGGAGTCCCGCTGAACTTTATCGTTCGAACCCTTGTCGATGTCACCTCAAGAATGCCGCCAGGATTATCGAGACAAATTAATTGTCGTAATTGATTTGATCTCGCCCGCTGAAGAGTGCCGGCAGTGGCGTTCCCGATCGACCGTCCGATGGGAAAATTAAAATCAAAACCACAGCCTAAACCGACTGTAGGAGTCATACAAGTTGTACCCCGGAACCTTCACATGACAATTTGCCTGCTTGGTCTCTTTTTAAGTTTACGATACCAAAAATGTATTAACTTTGTATATGGCAAGCCCAAAAGCTCGAACGGCCACTCCCAAACCCCGGTAACGCATCACAGACAATGCCCAATCTAGTAATATCTCATAATGCCCAAGACGTAGTCCGACGTAACACTAGGTATAATGATCGTATAGAGAATAGGAAAAGATGAGAGATATACAGCACCGCAGATACGACAAGCAATCCGAATAGAGCCTTTTATACAGCAAAGCAGCAAAAGCATCGAAGGAACAGTACCTCCACGTAAAACTCATGGGGAAAATCGTGCAAGGCATGAAAGCAAAGAAGAATGGTGAACTTGGATCCTTTATTGGAGCATGTGACCCATCTTCGAAATCTATTGTGTTGTTCGCCATGTTAGTACTCCACGCATCAGGATCAGTGGGGGGGAAACCGACCTTTGTCCGCAAGTAGCCTTCGACTTCAGAACTCGTAATTCCCATCTTCCCGCCGGTTCGCCAGGCCAAGGGCACCATCGGTACTCGCTCCTTCACAACTACTTCCCGATTCGGTCCCTCAACCGCCCGGATCTTGTCCGGGTTGTTTGTCAGTAGGCGGATTCCATGTGGGTTGGAATCAACACCGAGACCGAGATCCGCCAACATCGCTGTGGCAAGACCGTAGCTTCTGGCATCTGCAGGATGTCGAAGGAGTAGATTGGCTTCGACGGTATCCGATCCAAGGTCTTGAAGATTATACGCTTTGAGCTTTTCTCCGAGGCCGATCCCGCGGCCTTCTTGGCGGAGGTAAATGATCACGCCGCCAGATGCATTCGAAGGCACCGATAATGCTTGCTGGGATGCCGCCTCATTCAAAGTTTCCATCGGGAGAGACATCAATCGAGCCGCCTCGTCGAGCTGTTCACCACAATCACAGCGCGCGGACCATGCCGTTTCGCCGGTGTAACATTCCGAATGGATCCTAACCAGCGGCGCTTGATTTGTGTTACTCTGCGCTAACTCGGGTGTCTGTGACGAACTAGGGTGACTTGGGGTACTCCGCCCTTGTCCACTAGAAGCGCCCTCGGTATTTGCGGTACTATCATGCCAACTGCTAACTCGGCCGGGACGGAGGGTACCGATGTATGCCCCACGGATCATTCGGTCCATTTCTGTTTCCCCCGGACGGACTGCGTCCAGACTTCGGGATCGAATACTGTTTCCGAACACAATTGCTAGATGCTCTTTGTTGTCTAAGTCATTGTGGTAGAGGTGAAGGAACATCTCGGCCCCATTGGTGGTCGGGATCCGTGCGCGAACAATACATTCGACATTTGGAAGGCAGGAGAGGAGCTTAGGGGGTTTGGTGTGCGTGGGTTGTGAAGTCTGCTGAAGTAATTGCGCGTGGTTTAGCGTACCACCTGGTGTTGCTGGGGGGGTGAAGGAAGGGGAGAGGAGAGAGGCAGGCACTGCGGGGGTGACATCGCCTCGGGTGTGCTCTGTGGCGTCAGGTTGATTTGAGGCATCACCACGGAGCTCGCCTATTCTGCTGTTCAATGATGGTGTAGCCACAGAGGTAGAGTCCAGAGGTATATCATCGATAACTTGATGAGAGGAAGAGTCCTGCGCCGTGAATGCCGGCGAGGCGTGAGATGGTAAGTTCGACATGGCAGACACGAGTAATGCGATTGCGGAATCAGGGTGAGAAGAACAGTGCTTAAGCGACCATATACATATGATGGGTATGATGTCAATAGATAACAGAATGCGGTCAGTGGTTAATCCAATGTGAGAACAGGCGCATGCTCCAGAAGGTCAGTCAATTGTACCGAGTATGATCACATTGCCATGCATATATCTCCCTCGGATCCGCAGGAATGACACAGCACTTGGCGGCGCATTGGGGCGGGGGAGGGTTTGGCATGGCTGACTCAGGTTTTCCATTAGTCAGGCCTTACGGTTTGCATTAGTCAGGTGCCCTTCCAGAATCCAGACTCACATCCAATGATATGATGTTAGATCCCCATTTTTCCTTGCCTCAAAAAGTTTCTGTATCCCAAAAGTTTTCTTTGACCCAAAAATTTCCAACTGTTATTTGATTCTATTGCTTCCCCGGTTTCAACGACTTCAGATATTTTCCATCCCACCCCTCGCTAACAGCTCAATTGACGATCGCATTTGATCGTGGAAGTCCCATCTTATCGCGGTTAGAAGATAGACCGGGCTTTATCGGTCGAATGCTCTATTCGTTTCTACGCCGTATACACTTATTACCTAACAGATTGCCATATCCTGAAGAATTTCCATTGAAATTAAGACATCCCGCCTTAAGATCGGCGTCCTATTGGAACATGATACCCCCATCGGACTTATTTCGCAAGAGTATCTGAATTATGATCTACTTGCTTCGCCGACCTTAGAGGGATCAAGCTTTGCGCTGGCCATACTGATGCATAGAATGCCTGAGCTTAGCGAAACTAGTCAAGTCAGTCAAGACCATTGATTTCTAGGCCCTAGTAGTACTATCCTAAGCTGGCCCAATCAACCATCAATTGCGAGGACGCTTCGATTCCATCCAAGACTCCTTCCTTAAATTTGTATCAATTTAGTTCAAAGGGTATCATCATAATCACCGAATACTCGGGATTCCAATATGCAGTATTTGTTGTCGTGTTCGCTCTTTTTCCTTTTTCCTTTTTTTTTTTTTTTTTTCTTTTCTCTCTCTCTTCTTGTTTGTGTAGCCTTTGGTATCTCTCTGCTTCCTTTACTTTCCAGGAATATCAAGGACAAACCTACGGTCCACTTCCATCTCCTTGTCATCTTCCTCGCCTTCAAATTTGAGGCGGTAAGTGTCCTTTCTGGAGCCCATCACTTCCGCCCGGTAGAACGTCGTAGTATCCGGGTATCGAGCCAGAACTTGTTTTCCTACCGAAAAACTTGGTAATGTCGAGCCAACTTGTGGTATTGGGATCAAAGACGCAGCGGTAGTTTTGTAAACCGCTCCCTGTTCGCCATTTTCATTCGGCTCAGGATCCTGTACATCATACCTTGAAAGGATGATCGGTTAGTTGAGAGGTAAGGACGCCCGGGGTCGTCATGCCATACCGCTTCTTATGTCCATCTCCAGATATCCCTTTGATGATGCACTGGATCCCCTCACCTTCGACCCCTTGCTTGTTCTTGTTATGCTTGAAGACTACTTCGGCCCCAACCACCAAATGCCCATTGCGCTCTGCGAGTGTACCCTTGGTGCCTTCCGTCCCTTCCTCCACTTTGACGTGGACATCTCGGCTATCACGGCTGTCACGAGCCTGATTGCTGGATACACTGGAGCCACGTTGGATGCCTCCCTTAATACGACCAGCTTTGTCCGGCAGGGAGGCACCCGAAGGCCCCGGTGAGTCCGTAGCTGAACCATCCACGTCATTTCTCTTCTTACGAGATTTCCCAAGAGCAGCCGCACGGTTAAGTGGCGCCTCTGCTTCAGATGCCTGACGAAGTGCAGTCAGAAGGCCCAAGTTCTTGATCACATCACTCGGCTCATCTTGAAGAATGGCCCTCTCATCTTCGCAAAGTTTAAGCATTTGCCGGTATAGGCTGTCCAGCTGGTTATGTTCATGTAGACTTGGCTCTGCGGATGACGATTAGCATGTGCTAGCTACTGAATATGATCTAGCAAGCCCATAGGGCATAGCTGGATGGACTGAGAGAGTTCATGCTGCCATGATTCTTGATAGCATGATATCATCTCAACGCCAAGGGGCCGGGTCATGATAGCGGAGACCCAGGTATACTCCATTTCTTCAGACAGCCGATGTAGAGCAAAAAAGAAAAAGGAAAAGGAAATAAAGAGGGATAACAGAGGAAGGTACTCACTCCCACCATCTTTGCCAATCTTCTCATTCAAGGCAGAGATCTGCTCGGCTAATGACTTCTGTTTATCATTCTTCTCCTTTGCCTTTCGTAAATCCTGTAGGATCTTATTCCACATATCAGTTTCCTCATTGGCCGCCAGACCATTGTCTCTAGGAGCGGAGGGCCCCTAGGACGGTTCCGTGACATGTTGGACGGAGGTGTACTGGGACGTGCAGCAACAATTGGGCGCTGTTGCGGACCTTTACTGTTTCCGGACGAGATCGCAAGCTCCCCGGTTCTAGCTTTCTCGATACTCAAGGCCTCCCAGGAAAAAGCGGAGACAATCTCTTTGCGACGTGCACTTCGCGTGCCACGAGCCGCACCCTGCCGGAGGTCGTGCGGGCGACTAAAGGAGCTCAGAGGCGAGCTTGGAGTCTCTTCAGTAGGGTGCTCGCCTGGCTCGAGCTGGCGCGGAGACGATAATGGTTCCCCGACCTGGCGGCTATCGCTGGCGGAGTTCCCATCACGGTTAAGCGGTAAGCGCTTGGCTGGCCAATGCACGCCGCCATTGGCGGTGCCCATTTTAGTCACGGGAACGCTTCCGGTCATCCTAATCGGGTTTAATTAGTATTGATGGAGGGGCTGCCCTGGAAGTGGAAAGTGGGTGGACTTCTTGTCAGACCGGGACGTGGAGAGGTAGAGGAAACTTTTACAACAGAGAGAAAAGACTCACTGACTCAATTTGTATTCTCTTTCTCTTTCCAACACCTTTCAGTGAATCATCAGACCCTTGGGGGTGCTCTTGCCTAAACTCCTCTTGTGTTTACTTTTCGACCTTCATTCACTCCAATCCTTCTTGTTACGTCACACGCTCTACAAAATGCAGGTGCCTTTGCTTCGACTCCAATGTGGTATGATCTCTGGTCATTTCCCTTGTCGATAACCTTCTTCTAATAAATACTAATCACGGTATACACTCTGACAGGTGTCAACAGTTATGATTGGGGTACACACAACTCCACAACATCTTGAATCTATAACTTGCTGAGTATTGTCTTAGGCAAGATTGGCCAAGCGTCGGCAGCTGCCCGCTATGCAGCTACAACAGCTGCGCCAGACTTCTCCATAGAATCCGAGAAACCCTATGCAGAGGTCAGTTCGAGACTACTTACCGATCACAGGCAATCGCTTATTTCCTATCAATAGCTATGGATGGGCACGCATCCTTCCCTCCCTTCGAAAGACGTCGAGACTCAGCGAACCCTCCTCGATATGGTCCAGGACAACCAAGCTTTGTTATCCAAGGAGGTTAGCGAGAAATATGGTGGGAAACTGCCATTCCTCTTCAAGGTACTTTCGGTCCACAAAGCCCTCAGTATCCAAGCGCACCCGAACAAGAAGCTCGCAGAGAAGCTCCATGCTAGAGATCCTCGCAACTATCCAGGTATATCATAAAGCCCACGCATAGGGATATTCCATTGCACTCTACATTTTCTAACGTAGTCTTTGCAGATGACAATCACAAGCCCGAGATGACCATCGCAATTACCCCCTTCGAGGGACTCTGTGGTTTCCGCCCCTTAGCGGAGATTTCCCATTTTCTCAACGCCGTGGCACCCCTCCGTCAGTTGATTGGAACAGATGCAGTTGACCACTTTCTGGGTGCAGTCAAGGGGTCCGAGGGTTCGGAGGATCCCACTGTTATACAGAAAAATAAGGATGCTTTACGGACCGTGTTCACGGCGCTGATGAACTCATCGTCCGAGAACATCGAGGCCGCTACGAAGGAGCTTACTGCTGCGGCCCAAAACTCCCCCGAAACATTCGGCACGTCTGCTAGCACCCCAGAGACAAACCCCAGCAACCCAGCGGAGCTGGCTGCTATTATCACCCGTCTCAATGGACAGTTCCCGAACGATATCGGCCTATTTGTATTCTTCTTCCTCAATTTTGTCAAGCTTGCACCGGGAGAGGCCATGTTCTTGAAGGCCGACGACATTCATGCCTACGTGTCTGGCGACATCATCGAGTGCATGGCGTCTTCCGACAACGTCGTGCGGGCTGGCTTCACGCCCAAGTTCAAGGATGTAGATACCCTGACCGAAATGCTGACATACTCCTATGCTCCAATTGAAGAACAGAAGCTAGAACCCAAGGAATACCCGTATGCGATTCTGAATGCCTCCGCATATTCAAGCGCATCGTCGTCCTTGCTCTACGACCCCCCAATTGAGGAGTTCAGTGTGGTGAAGACCGATCTCAAGCGAACTGGGGCCAAGGCTACTTTCGATGGACTGGGAGGACCCAGCATCCTGATCTGTACCCGAGGCACCGGAAAGATCACCGTCGGCCATAAGACAGAGGAAGTCAAGGAGGGCTATGTTTTCTTTGTCGGTGCCGATGCGGAGTGTATCATTGAGAACACTGGTTCTGGATCTGATGAGGAAAATGTGTTCACGACCTTCAAGGCTTTCTGTGATTTGACCGGCAAGGAAGGCATGGTGAACGGCAACTAAACTATTTACTTAACAGCAACGAATGGATGTAAAAATAGCTACAGCAATACGACTTATAATACTTTCCCTTGGATCCGCTATCTTGCCATGAACCGAACCAAAGAAATTAACCTATCTATAACTCGGCCCGTAGCAACCGAGGTAAAAAGAAGCAAAGCTAACCTTAACATCCAACCCATCCATGATCTACTTCAGCTGCGGGGAATGACTAGTCTCTTCAGGCCATTATAGTTTAATCTTTCAGCTCCGGCAATTCACTCACCTCTCCAATTTCTTCCTTCACCACAACCATTGTATTAATTTCCTTTTCCCCGTCTCCATCAACACACCCTACATATCAAGCTCGATACCTTACTACCATAATGACATCCACCTCACTCTCCTTGTGGGGGAGAGTAGACCTCGTCCATGCTCAGCTGACCGTTTTGGGCACAGCCCTCTACAGCGCCATAACGGGCATCTTCCGAGGCCCAAGCGGCGCATCAACATACGGGCTCCACGTCGGCAACGCAGCGTTGAGAAAACTGTGCGATAGACTAAGCGCAGAACAGTTCCAGTACAAGATCCCTGAATTTGGCAAAGAAGCATACCCGCGATCATGACTAACTAGCGATATAAAAAGATACATGAACGGTTCCACAAGGTCCGTCTACGAGACATCCTTGCAGAAAAAGGGCCTCCAGCCCGAGACCGTCCCTCTCAAACACGGTGCACAGGGTCACTGGATCGGAAACAAGAATGCCAAAAATGTGGTCATCTATTACCATGGTATAGTCAATACGTCTACTATCGTCCGTACCTTTTGTATTGTGCCGCAATAGTACATAGCATGTCTAAGCATATTGCATGCAACTATAGACTATGCTATGCTATGCTACACAGAAACATATCGGGTACATGCTGTTGAAGGAAGTAGTACACTGCTAACGCACCCCCCCAAACAGGCGGCGGGTTCGCCGTGCCCGGCGCAGCCGGCCATATGGCCTTCTACAGCCATGTAATCGACACCCTCAGCGCAGAAGGCCACGACATAGCCTTCTTCCTGGTCACCTACAGCCTCACCCCACACGCCGTCTACCCGACCCAACTCCGGCAGGCCGTCGAGGCCCTCCGCTACATCCTCACCGAGACGAACCGCGACCCGGCCAACGTGATCGTGGGCGGCGACTCTGCAGGCGGAAATCTAGCCCTAGCCGTCCTCCTGCATCTGTCCCACCCACATCCCGAGATCGAGCCTGTGTGCGACGTAGCGCCCTTGGCGGGGTTGTTTGCCTTCGCGCCGTGGGTGAGTTTCGCCGGTGAGGGCGCCTCCATGCGGGAGAACCAGTATAAGGATATGATTGGGCCGGAGATTTTGGATCGGTGGTCACGCTTGTATTTGGGTGCGGAGGGGAAGGAGGGCGATGCGTGGAGTGAGCCTAGTCGGGCACCGATTGAATGGTGGAGGGATGCGAAGGTGAAGGAGGTGTTGATTTTGGCTGGCAAGGATGAGATCTTGTTTGATCCAATTGATGCGTTTGTGAAGAAGTTTCAGGTATGTAACTTTTCCCCCTTCCTTTTTGGGGGTGGGGTGGGAAATTCCTAGGTTTGTGAAGACAGGTGATCTTGATGCTAACGGCGGTTTAGTCGGTTGTACCGAACACGACGTATCTTGTAGGGCATGGAGAGACTCATGTGGCCCCGGTTTACAGCGCTGGTTTTATTGGAAAGGAGACACAGCAGGGGAAGGGTTTGAAGGAGTGGTTGCGGTCTCGTCTCTAGCGCGTTAGCTGAGCAGCCATCATCCTGGTATCTATGTACACTTGAGTATCTAGCCTCTTGAACCTGCAGGTCAAAGGCGGAAGGGGAACACTCGGAGCGCTTTCACTACACCAAACACGTTGAGTATTAATGTCTATCATGAAATCAGATTTCCACAACTGGGACGATAGCAATGGGAATAAAGGCAAGCGCCGATAATACCTGGCACAATAGAATAGCTACGCCGTCGTATAAATCATCAAAGTAACAAAACACCGGATCGAACGAGGAAGAAGAGTAAGAATCGAATATAAAAGGGAAAAAAGGGGGATATGCAAAAGGGATCTAAGACGACACTCTCGGCGCATACTTCGCAGCAGCGGTATCGAAGAATGCACTCTTCTCTTGAATATCAGCCAACAGAGCATGCGATGACTGCACGTTCTGTAGACGCCTGTGCCCAAAGATATATCCGTTAGCAAGTTCCAAGACATGGGAACAAAAACTCGAAGAGGAATGTGATACGTACGCCTCGAGCTCCTCGGTCGGCTTTCCGGCCAAAACGTTCAGCACAATGCTGTTGGCAATGAGCTCCGCGTCCTCGGGGTACTTCTCCAGAGCTGTCGTCAATGCAGCTTCAGCTTCTGGCAACCGGCCGAGGTGGATTTCAGCCACGGCCTGACCGACGATCGAGAGCGGGGCAGATGTACTAGGGGCAGCGGCGAGTTCTTCATAGACGTAGAAAGCAGATTGGTACTTTTCGCCGCCCTAGGAATAAACAAAACCATCCGTCAGTTATCTCATTAAAAAAAATCGACACCAACAACATAATGGGAGCACATACAACCCTCAAACCAACCCACGACTCGGCCAAATTAACAAGCAGGGAATCCTGAGCCCACCGCTTGGCAGTCTGCACCTCCTTCAGGGCGAGATCGGAGCGATTCTGCTGAAGGTGGATCTGAACGATCAATGCAACACTGTACATATCACGGTAAGCCACGGATCAGCATTTCCCTCCAACCGGAGACCAAAGCGACTTCAGACATACGCTTCCAGATTGCCTTGGTGCTTCGTCAACAAAGCCAGAGCCTCCTCGCTCAACCCCTGCGCCTGCAGCACTGTTCCACCCAGAACCTGCACGGTAGCATTATCAGGATAGTTCTCCGCCAGGTCCTGTGTGAGCTTCAGGGCGGACTCGCTGTCGCCGGATGTTTGCTGCGCCAATGCCTTCGCTGCCGCAAGGTCGGGGGTGTCTTCTTCGCCGTCAACATCGGAGAGAACCTGGTCAGTCTGTCCCAGGGCAATTTTGGCGCGCAGCTGTAGGATGCGAGCAGGAAGGTGGTTTTCAGAGGATAGGGCCGATGTATCGAAGTCGATCACCTCCTGGTACTGGCCTTGATGGAAGGCATTGTGAATGTTGATGAGTTCTGTGGAGAGAGGAGTATGAGTTGGAAGGTACTACACTCAGCTTTAGGAAGTATAATCACGAAACACTTACCACCTTCTGCCGAGAATGGATCCATGGTGTAGTACAATTGCGAAAGGAATTGCCAATTGTCTTTATTTACTGTGTGCTGTATACAGCGTATGGTTGATGGCACGGAAGGCGGAGGCCGAAAGTCGTCACGTTGCCTTTCCGAGGGCGGTGACGGCATAAAATCAGTCAAAAACTTATCATTTACCACAGCGCACGTCGCCCTACTAGCCCTTAAATGCCTCACAATATGATAAATACTAGTATCTATCCCTATGGACGGACAATAAGAAGGCCTACCTTACAAGGGAAAGAGAAAAGACTAAAGATCGCCATACTTGCACAATGGCCTGGAATCGAATGAGCGTCCCAGCGCACGTTTAATATTAAAACAAGAATATGAAACGTAAAGATAGACATGACCTCGCCTCATGTCGGAGATTCATCTAGAACCCTCAGAGCAATGGAAAAGGATTGAGCGAGCAAGTACACCGCTCGATCGAAAGCGTTGACTTCAATCCACGCTCTTGTACATGTTATTCCGCCGCCAATTGTGACCAATGATGCAACCATTCCCTGCTGACTCCTTGAATGCTGCCATCCTATCCGATGATGATAACGCGTGAAATGCCGCCCTAACCCCGAACCCTGAAGACAAATAAATGAAGAACTATGATGGGCAAGATTCGCTGCAAACAAAAGAAGAAAAAAAAAAAAACAACATCATGAGAAGTAGAATAAGTGCACAGCCATGCAACACACAACAGAAGAGCACAAGTAGAGGGTATCGCTAGATAGAACAGAAGTAATCCAATCGCAAATGGAACTGAAGAAAAAGACAAAGGAAGAAAATATCAAGGAGCGCCCGTACCTCACTCGCAATGCAACCATGCATCGCCCTTTAATAACACAGAGTAGAGACAAACAAGCAGATGACGGTTTCTCCTTTAGGCCCTCCAGTGACCTCAGCAACCGTACTGCGCCAAAGTCCCCGAAAGTAATAGCCAAAGGAAAAGTCCGGAAAAGGACACAATAGATGCAATGAAAGTTTAAAGAACGCCGCTCCGTTTATTTGCACATGTTTTGAGACCAACGAAACCAGAGATGAAGAGTCGCATGGAAAAGGTGGAAATGGAAAAGTGAGATTGGCATCCTGGTAGCACGCCACAGTTGACAACGCTTGTTGCAAGGCTTCAACAAGGCAACGATGAAGTGGACGCTGCAGAAACAGTCGGTGTCAGATCTGGAGAACTATCCTTGTCTTCTGCGCTCGCTGCCACGTCATTACCCTTCTCACGCTCCGTAGATGACGTGCGCTTGAAGACGGTCTGCCCGATCTGTCGAAGAATACCCATCCGCTCAGCTCTCAATTCTTCTGCATCAAGCCGCTGAACAGACATCGGGTCTTCTTTTGTGATCTTGCAGAATAAGGTTGAGAACAGATATTGGTCTCCGCCGCCATCATACAGGGGCAAGTAGCGGTATCCTTGGGACAGGCTGCTAAGCTTCGCAGTGAATGTGGCAAGTTGGACACTACTATTGCTTCCTGCACTGCGCCCATCCTGTGAACTCCAGATAGTCCAGCGAACGAATACCAAATCTGGATATTTAGTCTCCAGCGACAACCTAAAGCGATCGTTGAAGATTGGGCTATACCCATTGCTCTGCTCGATCTTCGTGCGCCGACGGTGTGGAAATCCGATGCCCGACATGCCATTGCGGGCGGATGCGTTCATACCACCCTCGCCATAAACGAAGCTCTGGCCACGATCATCTGCGCTAAACATTTCAATCTCCACGTAAGGATTGATGTTATCATCGGGTCCAATGCTGCGAGGGCGAGGAAGCTGTTGGGCAGATATAACATCCACCGAAAATCGAACAAGCTTCCACTCCGTAGTCTTCGTTTTCTCCTCGTCAGCCGGGCACAAGGCGCGAAGAGACTCGGGTTTTAGCACGTAACCGGTTCGATCGCTCCCAGCAGCAAACATGGCCTGGTTCATCTGCATGCCAATGTCGTATGTTTGCCAGTTCAAGGCCGCCATCTGAACGCCGCGTCGCCAAAATTTGAGGGGGTCGAAGTTCGAAGATCTCAGGCGGAAGCCGGAGGGATAGACTCGAGTCAAATATTTTTGGTTGTGCTTCTCAAAGAGAGCCCTGTTTTCGGCATCACGGCATATACCCTCGAATGATCGTTCGGCGAAGGAGTAGACATGGTTATACCGTTGACTTTCAGCGGATGAGAAGCTGTGCCACTTGTACCCTCGAGTGTAGACACCTAGATCCGACAAAGGTTTGGTGATTTTGCTCTTCTGACGTCTTTTCTTTTCTTTCCTGATGGTCGCCAATGCGCCATCACTCTCCTCCGTCGCACTGCTGATGCTGGTCGTTGTAAACGAGCGTCTATCTTGGGTCAAAAATGAGCCAACGGTTTCCAGTCCAAGCGTTGGAGGGCTTGACAAAGGGGGCAAACTGGTTATTGCTGAGCTTTCAGATGCCGTCGGACGTATGAATGGAGAACTCGCGCTGCGTTTACGGCCGTGAACGGCGAATGTGCCCATGGACTCCTGCCGTACGCCCTCTTGGAGCTCGTCACAGGTCTTTACCTTAACAAGAATGCGTCCCTTCAGCTCTTCGGGTGACGGAAGGACAAAACTGTTTGTTAACAGTGGCTCCAGGATAAGCTGATCTTTGAAGGTATCCTTCATGATTTTGACCATTGCCAGTTGCTGCTCCGGGTTACAATGTACCTCGAGAGACAGGATGAGAGGAAAATCAGTAGTGATGAATGCATAGCGATTAATGACGGTAATACAGTCAGCAAACAGAACGCTCGTGGTCATAGTTCGTCCATGGGACACAATCGGTCGGCCATCGGCCCCATCCCAACAGTCGATCTCTACACAACGGCATCCTTTTTGCAAAGCGCTTATGTATGCCTCTGTGCTGGACGCCCCAGCAACTTGGCGGCCTAACAGATAAGTATTGTGGGAACTCGAGATGAAGTATTCGTTCAAGGGACGGTCGAATCGCGACTGGGGAGCACGAGAGGCATATAAACCGTTCCATGGGGACGCAAGGAAAAAGGAAAATGTATCAAAATCCATTCGAGGGACTTGCTCCTCCTCAAACTCTGGGATACTTGGGACCCGCGATTTAGACTTGCGTACACATTTGTCAAAAACCGAGACCCAATAACTTCGGTCCGAGTCAACGTCCTCATTTTGTACGTTTCGGAGGAAGGTCAAGAATTCATCGACGCTTAGGCCAGCTTTGGCGTCCCTGGCACTATCCTTGAAGATCTCCTTGACGTCTTTCCGCTCTTTCAAGCGAGCGACAAAATTCTGGAACTGTGAAAAGTTCAACTTGCCGTTGACATCAGAATCAGCTTTGGAGAATTGCGCGCGAAGCATGTTCTTGGAGCAATTGATATGTAAACTGCGACAAATGCCCTCCACGGCCACAAAATCTAGACTTCCCTGCTCAGCCGACCTGGGTCCGTGGGGGAACAATCTCGACATCTCGCGCTGCCAATGCGCCTTCAGGACTGCCTCACTCTGACCGGAACCAGCCAGGCCAGCCATAAGGCCTATCCTATATCGGGAGATATGTTCTAGAGTGGTCGTCCAAAGCTCGAGTATATAATCGTTAGGGGCAATCAGGTGCAGCATTTTGACAGCCCGACCTTTTGACCGCTCGTCATCGGCAATAATGATTGTGAACCAGCGATTTTCGGTGTCTTGTGGAACCTGGTGCTCCTCGCGGTAATTCCGTGCGTCCACGCCAACTCGGATTTCTTTGATATCGTCAATGTAGAAGCGCTTAGTCGGATTCGAGACATCCCAGTAGACCTTGCCCGCATCTAGGTCTAGGACGAAACGAACTTGCTTTCTCCGCTTCTTTGTAACTTTCGTCAAGACAGTCCCACGTTGAATCATGGAATCAATTTTCGGCGCGATTGTGCCGGTGTGGCGGGAGGCTGCCATAAAACTGTCATTTGGTAAGCTGGATGACTCTGATCCGCACCAAACTCCGAGGGAATCAAGAGCATCATTGCTGTCTTCCTCGTTACTAGATTCGAGTGCATTGTCGCGGCCGTTCTGAGATCCGGTCTTGCTGTCACTGCGCCTCCGCATAGTCACGGGGCCAGAGCTGCGGTCGCGCTTTTCATTGTGGGAAGCAGATTGGCGTCGTCGTGTAAGCTTGTTTGCGGCACCACGGGAAATTCTGCGCATCAAGCCCGGGCCTTTGGAATTCGAGTTGACTGCGTCCCCCGATCCAGAAGCGGGAGCGTTCCCTGGGACGGCCATGATGGACTCCCCGAGCTCGAACGTAGTAGGAGGGATAGCAGGGAAGGGAGGTATACGTCCTCGGAAACCGTCGGTAGCAATCTGTAAAGGTGTGCCTGAAGGGCTTGAAGCATTTGAAGGAAAATAGGCGGGACGTAAAGAATTGGGAGTCGTAGTCAGAGAAGAGGCGTAAGATGGTGCTGACGAAGGATTAGGGGCAGGAGGAATAGATGTGATAACATGATGTAGCTTTGGGGGGTTGGAGGATGAAGTAGTGAGTTTTAAGCTAGAGCGGGTATCGCCATTGACGGTCGAAGCCGCTGAGGTAGCGGCGTAGGCCATCGCGGGTACCTACAAGAAACACACTACTCAGCTGCAGATCGTGAGACTGTCAACCTGTCGTGAACCGTGCCAATGCCTGAGTCACCTGGACTTTGCAAAGGACGAATGAGCAGTACAGCAGTAAGAAAGCGGTCGTGTTGGTTCAGAGATGGCGGCCTATGATTGTAATGCAATACGAACCGAATTAGGGAACGTGTCAGGCTGAGTGATGCAAAAGCCACGTCCTTAGCGGAATATGTTATGATTTTGATATCTGCATCTTGGCCAGCCTTTAATGCAATGCGGAGAGCCCTTCCTGAGAGCACTCGCGAGGAAGGAAGGAGGGGGGGGAGGGAAAGGAACTCAGGTCCCTGACAGCAATTGAGACGAACAGTGGCCCTGTGTAACGGTGGCTCCACGGGACAACAATCGGTAACGC